CTGATTAGAAAGAAAGATATATATATATATATATATATATATATATATATATATATATATATATATATATATATATATATATAAGAATGGTAATATAATAATAGCCGTTTCTTTTATAAATTGAAACTTTCAGCATTCATTTTCCACTACTTATTGTCGATAGAAATTTATAAAATCTTTAATTTATAAATTTTACTCGTTTCACAAGTCCAGTAGCTGTTATCGCTCTTTCCATTATCGATGCTTGTTTCCTTCCTCACCTTTTATTTGATGAAGTGTGGAATGTCAACATCTTGTTTATGTTAATTATTTTTAGGATAATCAAGTTACATGTTTCTATACATTTTAATGTTATAATTGTTGAAAGTCCTCAAGTAAGGTGACTTCTGTTATTTGGTACCATTCTGCGTTTGTAATTATGTAACGCCGATCCACAAGGGTTCTAGGAAAACTGGTCTCCAATCAAGACCCATAGGATTTACTCGCTCAACGCCATTTTTAACCAGTGATCTTAGAAAGCGACTGCATAAAGCTGACATTTTATAGATATATATGCATAAAAAACTACAATTGATACCTTTGAAAACTCTGACATTGGCATTAACCGATTCAGATCGATAAATCGATGTGCATAGACGGAAAACACTTGCTATGACACTGGGATGAACCATCTCGATTTCTTTTGTATTCCATCAGTGTTATGGTCCAAGTTAGGACCAAGGAAGATATATAGATATAACAATATTAAGATAGAAATAACGAAGGTATATTATACGAAATAATAATACAAGATGTGATAGGTGTTATATGACTGTCAGTCTGGTTTGAGGAACTATATCGGCTCGACTCGATAGATAGATAGATAGAAAGACGCGTAGTATACATAATGTTAGGAAGAGTTCATTCTGTAGTTATAGGAAAGGACCCATGACAATCAGTAAGAAGGAAGTTCCGCTCAGACAGTTTCTTCCATTGAACCATACATTGTGGAAAAGACTCCCGAGAGCATGCTTTCCCGAAGATTACAATCTTAACATCTTCATATCGAAGGTTTTTCCTACATATACTCATAAAGTGCACTCCTTCTTACTCTTACTGCTCATACAAAGACCTTGATCAGTAACCCTCTAACTTGAGTAGCTCTTGTGCCAGGCAAGCATTAGTAAAACAACAGATATAAAAATATACATAGACAAACATGAAATTCTCAGATCTAGCTATCTATGTATCCCGTCCTGATTATGACAATAAACTACATCCGGCAGCAAGTCCACTGATCAGGACGTTTTGAGGGAGCCCTGAACCATCACTTAATTGCTGTTGTTCCCAGGTCCACTCTAACCCGGAGTGGTAGCACCTGTTAGAATCCCAGCTCTGGGCAAATGCTTAAACCCCAAAGTGGGCTAAAAAACAATGAGAAAGTGTAAAAATAGGATTTTATAGTAAAAATATCGGCAGTACATTAAAAAAAAATTAATACATATTCTATTCAAACGAACTTATCCTAAAAAATCTTACCGGCATTAAATAACCCATTGAGGTTGATATATCGTAACAGAAAATAAACTATATATATATATATATATATATATATATATAGCATGAAACAGCCTGTCGCCTTAAGTGTTGATTTTTATCGTTTTTTATTTTTTGGTATATATATATATATATATATATATATATTCTATATAATATAATATATATACAAAAAAAACAAACAAAAATAATATGCGATTATGCTGTTTTAATGTTTAATGTCAACGTCGGACGTTTTCGGTTAATTAGACCATCTTCATAGATTGTTATAGATCCTTTAAGAAAACTCATATGTAATGAAGATAAGATTTGGCTTTTTTTTTTAACTACCACCCCACAGATGTCCCTAAAATTTTATTCAACCAAGAACCTAACATTCCATTAAGGCCAATCATCTTTAATTAATGCATGCTAGAAAATCCAGAGAGAGGACTTACCATTAGTAAACCAATTTTTTTTTATAATAAATATTATTATATTGGAAGAAACACTGTGAAACAACATAGGATGCATAATTTGATGCATTTCGAGATAGTGATAGGTAAAAGTCAATTTTTTTTAAGGTGGTTCTCTAATCGTTTAATACATTTATATATACAGGTATATTGGTAAATAAAGATTTAATGTCTAATCTATAAATATATTTATATTATATATATATTACTCAACTTATTTAGAAGAGATAATTATTATATATATGTTAAAATGGTGCCCAGAATTGGAGAAGAAATTTAAAAAAAACCTTTTTCGATTTTATTTTAAAGTTTAGACTATTACCGAGATGATGAGCCTTAATGGAATGACGACGACGTGATCATATTTAAACGGAACGCTGATCTTATAAAAGATTCCAGTTATCTGTTTGGATTGGTATTGCTTTTATGTCCATCGTCTTTTTCATGTTGAATTGTATATGGTCTATGTTAATTATGTTTTATGAATTGTCCTGACGATGGTCTATTAGATCGAAACGTCCGACGTTGACATTAAACATTAAAACAGCATAATCGCATATTAGTTTTTTTTTGTTTGTTTTTTCAGTATATTTTTCTTCATACTGTCGGATATATATCCATATATTTGCTTTCTGGAAAAAGAGAGTTTAAAAACTGTCTAAATGTTTTATAGTTCCGAGCGCTTTCGGCTATACATTAAGAAGCCATTTAAACACACGCACAAACTTACCAGACTACATTAGAAACATACTAGTAGAAAACAAAAATATAATAAGTGCATCCACCTGTAAAAAAAGATTAAAAATAATGGAAGCTTTAATAATAATAAAAAAGAAAAAGCCAACTCTTAACGATATTAACTACGAACAAGGCCACAATGTGCTAACCGTATTCGGAAATTAAAACATTCACACAACACACTAAAAACATACATATAATGCACACACTCAATTAAGCTGAAAAGTCGAATCATTCTTGATAATGACTAAAGGTATAGCCGAAAGCGATCGGAACTATAAAACATTTGGGCAGTTTTTACACACACTTTTTCCAGAAAAGAAAGCTCTTCTTCGAACGTAAGAAAAATTAAATAAAAAGGTTAATCTGTCGTATCTTTGTCTGTCGTTTTAATGAAACACACACACACACACACACACACACACACATATATATATATATATATATATATATATATATATATATATATATATATATATATATATGGTAAATTACATGCAATACCGTTCAATCTAAGGTTGGCTTCGAATTCGACCATTATTAAAATATAAAATGTTACAATTATTGGTTATTGTATTGCAGTCGCGAAATGTTGACAGAAAATTGTGTATCTATTCCTTCATAAGAACTGTTACGCATGGAATCTGTTAGCTAATCTTATATCGATAATTTTCCGATTATACCTATGGTAGACCATACGGTCAATGGCTTTACTTCTATATACGAAGAAGCGATATCAACTATTCTACCGTCTCCCATATTCTTGTACTAAGGCGGCTACCGATCAGAGAAATTAAAGTACCTTTTTCTTTTAATTTTGTTTTTGCTACTATGTTTGTTGTTGGTCTTATTCTTTGCTTATGTATTTTGTGGGGTTGCATCCGTTTAACATTAGTATTTTTAGACTTTCTCAAACAATGGGATAATATGGAAGCCGAGTACAGTGTTTGGAGAATGAAAACCTTTAACATTAATTACGAGTTTTATTTTGCTAATTTTATCTTCATTTGAATCATATATTTTTCGCTTATCAAAACAAATATTTCATGTTAACACGTTGTTTGATATTTTACTAGTATTATCTTTTTATTTTAGTTTTTTAGTTTCTTATTTTCGTATATTTGTATTAATGTAATTATTTTTTCTTATTTTTACTAATTTTGCTATTCATCATTTTTATTATTTAATTTTTTTAATTTTTTGTTACTTTATTACTTCCTCTTAATTTTTAATTTCTTCTTATTTTTTTAATAATTTCTTCTTCTTCTCATTCTTCTCGTTATTATTACTGTTATAGAGTGGGGGAACAGCAAACCAAAAAAGTGAGGCTGTGGTACAAAAATTCCAATATTTGCACCATGATACACAGTCCAATAAGGGTATACAGGTATACCTCACCCTACGTTGTTAATTGGTTGCGGAGGTAAAACTTAAGCCGAAAACCCACACTGTATTTATAATATGTACGTACAGTATTCTGAATAAAATAATCAATTTCCACCTTATCTTCCAGCGATATATACTTACGCTTAGCATTAGCACTTACATTGGGACTTTTCTTCGGAACCATGGGCAAAAATGTATTCTAAATCACAATTGAAATGCAATTGGGAGAATGTCAACGGCAGAGCACAGATGTAAACAAGTTTGAATTCAAAATCGGAGTTGAAGCGGAAAAAACGCGCGAGTGTCGCCTGTCGGCAGGAATTTGAAGTAAGAACATCTACTGGAATTTTTTATTATGCTATATGCTATATATATATATATATATATATATATATATATATATATATATATATATGTGTGTGTGTGTGTGTTTGTGTGTGTGTGTGTGTGTGTGTGTGTGTGTGTGTTTACATATTATTTTAAATATATTTAAATAAGATTTTATATGCGTTTATTGTTATTTTAGTGTTTTGAAGATTCTAATTATTTTTAATGGCCGACGTAAACTCGAGTAAAACAACCTAAGCGAATTTTATTTTTCCATATAATATGTAAGAAAAACCGACGTGTCTTTGAAAATCTCTTAACTCGAAACGACTTAATCTAAGGTATCACTGTAAAAGGAACATGCAAATGTTCACAGGTGGGACCCAATTAACTTTAGGTATTTCTAAGTGGTCCCCGCTTACAAAGTTATACACCATTCGTTTAGACGGTCTCCGATTGAAGTTGCTCCAAAGGACCCATAAACGATACACAACTCATGCTTCAAACTCGAAAAAAGTAAATCTCTCAACACCCGTCCACTATGTTTCCCCACTACTC